CCGCCGCACGGCAGTGGCGGTCCGGGCCGCCGGCGGCAGTGTCCCGATGCTGCTCGCCGCGCAAGGCGCCTGGCCGCGGCGCCTGGTCTGCCGCCGCTACAGCTCGGTCGAGGCTCTCCTGTATGCCGCACCGCGGCCGCGCAACCAGGCCTCGCGCCGCCCCAGCTTTGGGGGCGGCAGCGGCTGCGGCACGGCGGCGCCTTTTGCTGAGGAGGACGGCGCATCTGGCAGCGCTGGCGGCGCCGGCGTGGTCTGGTGAGTAGCGTAACAAGATCGTGAGCATGACATTTTTGATACAACCCATCCGTCAATTCCAGCCCGTCCAAGTACATTGCGAGCGCCTCAGCGCGTGGCATCAGGTCAGAAGTAGGCTGCTGCATTCCCCACGGCGCCCGCCGCCTGCGCAGCCCCTCAGCCTTCTACATCGGAGTTTCATCTCTGACATACCCACTTCAATATGTACCGCCCCGTTGACCCGCTTCTGCCCCTTTAGGCGCGTCCTGCCGCCGCCATGCGCCCGGCACCGCGGCCTCGGCGCGGAGGGGGCCGGCGACGGCGAGGAGGGCGTGGGTGGCGCAGTTGCAGCCGTGGCGCGCGAGGGGGCTGCCGCGTTCTGCTGCTCCTCAGGCGCCGGCGTGGGCGCGCCGCGCGTGGCCCAAGCATGCTGCCCCTGCATGCATGGCAATGGTCGCGGCCACGGCCTGGCGTCCCCGCCCCAATCAATCGCATGTCCCTCGGGCCCTGCCGATCAGGACGCGGCGCGCCATTCGGCCCCGCCGGGCCCGCGCCTGCCTGCGAGCGGCGCCGGTGGTAGAAGCGGCAGCACAGAAGACAGCCTCATCGCGGCTGCGGCGGCAGCGGCCGCTGCCCCTGCGCAGCGCACGTCCGGCGCCGGCGGCTGGCCGGCAGTGATGGTGTTCCACAGAGAGGGCGGCGGCGCCGGCGGCATGCTGGCGCCCCGCGTCGCGCGCCAGCTGGCGCTCGCGAGCTTCGGCCGCGGCTTCACGCCGCCCGCGCTGGAGGGCGCGTTCTTGCTGTGGAGCAACGCGCTGCATGCAGACATTGACGGCGTAGCCGTCCTGGTGCTGGCGGTGTTGCTGCTCCTTACACTGGCAAAGGGTTCAGCGCCCGACGGCGCCTCAGGCGTCGGTGGCGGGGCCACGCTCCTGCGGCTGCTGCGGGCGGCGGCGCCGGGCGCGGCCGGGCTGCACTGGGCGATCGCGTTCGCGGTGGCGGCGGCGATTGCGCACGCGGCGCTGCTGACGTCGCCGCACTTCGTCAGCTGGTGGGTTGCGGGCGCCTGCTCGCCCGCCGTCCCCGCCCCAGCGTCTGCAGCATGGGCATCTTGTGGTGTTGCTGCCGTCCTCCCTCCCTTCCTCTGATTCTGTTTCCCAGCCTTCTCCCTGGCCCCCTCACTCCCTTCTTGCCTTCTACTTGTGTGCACAAATGCAACGCGTCTGACCCTATCTGAAAGCAACAAGCAGTCCCCTGCCAACAGCCAGCTCGGTTACATTCCAACAGTAACTCAAATCTCGCCCACCCTGCAACCGCCCAGACCTCAAAACGTGCAACGTTGGTCAACCCCTTGCCCTCAACACCCTCAAACCCCCCTACTTACAACACTGCTGGAACCCTGACCGTCACTTGCCGAAAGCCCATCTCATCTGCTGTCGAATCTGCCGAATGGCAGGTACATCGTCCACCGGGAGGCCTTCTGCCTGTCCCTGGGCGCGCTCTGCCACTGCCTGCTGCTGGCGGGCGCTGCGGCGGCGTGCGAGCGGCCGCTGCCGGAGGGCGCGAGGGGCATGCTGAAGCTGGTGGTCGTCGCTTTTGGTGCCGAGCTCTTCTTTCTGCAGGTTGGTTTGGGGCTCTGGGTTGCTGCCCCGCGCGCATGAGAGTGTGCGCGTCTGGGCTGAGACAAGGTGGGGTGTGGGCTTGCAAGTGCTAGTACGAGTGTGCAACTAGTTGGGGCGCGGGAGAGTGGATGCATGGGTGGATCCTCGCACGTGCGCGCGCGCATTGGAGCGCGACGGAGACTGTCAGCCGCCCGACCTCCCCTCACGCCCGCCTTGCGCTTGTCACTTCCTGCCCCCCAACTCCCGCGCCCCCCGCAGCTGCGCGCGCGCATTTGCCCTCCTGGCCGCGATGAAGCTCGCGTCCCTCTCGGCTGTCGCCCTCCTCCTGTCCCCGCCCGGCGCGTGGTTGCAGCTGGCCGGCATGGTGGCGGCCGCCTGCGGCGCCGCGGCGTGGGTGATGTTCACAAACAGCCTCAGGTCGAGGGAGTGGTTTCTGCAGCAGTGCGTCCGCCCGGCGGCAATCATGGTGCCTGACAGCGGCGGCGACGGCGATAACGGCCGCGAGTATAATGGCGTCGGTTATGACGGCCGCGGCGACGATGGAGCGCCAGGCGAGGACGGCTCGCAAATGGAGCCATCGCCAGGCCAAGGGGCCGCCAACGGCGCGGCCGGGGACGAGGGGGGCCGCGCCCGCGCCGCGCAGGCGCGGGGGCCGCGCCCGCGTGCGCCGCCGCCGGCGCTCTTCCTGCCGCTGGGGTTTAGGGAGCGCTCCTGCGTGTGCGTCATAAAAGGCCCAGTCACTGGGCCGCCGGCGGCAGCAGGCGCGCTCGGCGCCGCTGCCGCTACCACCGCAGCCGGCCTGGGCGGCTGCGGGCTGCCTGGCTGCAGCCTGGTGCGCCTGGAGCTGCTCGTGGGCGCCGCGACGAGCGGCGGCCGCGGCTTGTGGGCCAACCCCGGCATTGCAGCGTTATGCGCCGCCCTCCGCCACGTGCCGCCCGGCGTTTCCGGCACGCCCACGGGTGTCGACGCGACCGGCGGCGCGGCGGGGCCGGCCGCAGCGGCAGTGGCGGCGCCGCCGGGGTACCAGGAGATGCAGTGCATTGCATTGGTCGGCGGCGGCTACTGCGGCGGCGACTGCGCGGCGGCCCAGCTGCCGCCCTGGTGAGCAAGCGCACTTGTGTGAGCGTGACCTGCGTCTCTGGCTGGTTTTTCTTCAAGCCATTACCGGTTTGCCGGCGTGAATCGCATTCTAATCCTGCAATCTCAAGACAAAGCCGCTCTGCGCGTGCTCCTACGTCCCTCGTAACAGGCTGTCCGGCGGCGGCGCCTCGCCCTCGTGGCCGGCCCCGGCCGGCCGGGCGCAGCAGGCCGCGCTGTACACTGAGGTGCGCTGCACGCTGCTTGTGAGGGCCGGCTCCATCCGCCTCGCGGGCGCCGTCGTGGTTGATGGCGCGGCCGGCGCAGGGGGGGGCGCGGGCGCCAACGCTCGCGCTGGCGGGGCAGGCGTCATGCGGCGCTCCCCGCCGGCGCCGACGGTCGCGAGCGGCGCCTCAGCCTCGGCCACTGCCGCCGCTGCGCCCGCGCGCCGCGTGTGCGTGTCCGCGGGCGGCGGCGGCGGCGGCGCCGCGGCGTGCGCCGCGCCGCTGGCGTGGGCGGCGGTGCATGAGAGCTCTTTGTCGCTGCT